ACACATTATAAACCTTTGAAACCTCGGTTTTATCATCTCTAAAACACCCCAAATTAAAGGAATCAGCCAACATTTAAGTTCTCTTAGAATTCTCCAATCTGCTAGCTTCAGTAACCCAGGACTGGCTCCTTTTCATTTCAGGACCATTGTAGCCCTGGTGTACAATGTGCTGAAAACTCTAATGGAAATGAACGGCAAGCTCTTTGATGACCTTACGAGCTCATACAAAGCTGAAAGACAGAGGTATTTGATATTTTGAATTTTAAAATTATCTAACATTTTAGTTAGTGGAATCTGATTCAATTCAGCAAGATAAAATCTTCTGAGTTATGTTTACAAAGTCAGTCAGTTACATTAAACATAAATTGAAAGTCTCTAAATGAGTCATTTCCAGATAAACTAGCCCTAGCACTTTTTATAAATTTGTTAAGCAGAAAAAGCAGTGACATTTATTATTTAAGGTTGTTACATAATTTACTTACCCTAATAATTAGATTAGGATTTTAATGTGGATCATAAAGCTTATTTACCTCATTCTGAGCCTAAGATTTCATCAGTCTGATAGCAGTCTACATTGTGAAATACAATTTATGCTGAATTTCCAATACCAATTTATACAATTTGATTTCTTACATTTATGGAAATCACTTTTGTGCATGTGGGCTTCCATAGTGAGCATCATTCTTCACTTGTTCCTTGTGTAATAGTTTTGATAGTTCTGATGCTGCGAATCCCAGAAAGTGGGTTCAAAGGGCAATGTGGTTCTTCAGGAAGAGGGAACTCACATAATGATATACTCGGGTACTAGTGATGTGCTGTTCCTTGTGTCAAATGTATTTTAGAGGAGAAATGACCATTCATATCAGCCTTTGGAAACATGGCTTAGTGGTTACCTCTTTGAGAATTTCACCAATTATTATTATAGTCTTGAAAGAAATATATGGAAAGTAAATTGTTTTTAAAAGTAAGAAGATAGGTAAGTAATCAGTGTACCTAAGTCCACCCATCATTCAAGGATAACAGCTACTATTTACTTTTAAAAAGCATATTATCTATTCTATTCAGAAAAGCTGGCATTTTTACTACAAATTCCTAGTAATGGTTTTCTTTTGCCAAGTAAGGAAAGAAGCTAGCCCTTCAATAACCCAATGTATTATTTTTCTTAAATAGCAGTCTTTCAGGCAGGAATAGAAATTTGACTCCCAGGAAGCAATGGAAAAAAATGTTTCCCTTAGTTGGGTGTGATGGTAATTCCAGCAACTTGGGAGGCAGGAGGCTTCATGAGTTCAAGGCCAGCCTCAGCAACTTAGTGAGACCCTATCTCACAAAATAAAAAAGAATGGGGATGTAGCTAAGGGTAGAGTGCCCTGGGTTCAATCCCCAGTGCCACAGAATAAATTTCTTTTGGAACTGAAATTAAGTTATTGAAGCAACATATAAACTATCTTGACATTGGCTGTTCAAACTTCAAGGTTTTCATTTGATATGAAAGAGAGGGCTGGGGTTGTGGCTCAGCGGTAGAGTGCTCACCTTGCATGTGCAAGACCCTGGGTTCGACCCTCAGCACCACATAAAAATAAACAAAATAAAGGTATTATGTACAACTAAAAAATAAACATTAAAAAGAGAGAGAGACAGAAGAAAGTAAGATACCAACTGGTTGTGACTAGAGATACAACAGGAAGGTGCTTCAGACTGCCCTTGTGGCCATTGCCGTTGGTCTGTCATAGTGATCCAGCTGCTACACTGACCACAAGAAGTTAACATTAGAAACTTAATGTCAAAGTGCGTTATTTACAATAAAGCAGGGTTGTGGTAGTGGTAATGTATTGGGAGGGAAAGCCAGTGGTCACCTTCAGTTGGTACAAGAGATGAACAGACTAATTACACTTACGATAGTGACAAAGAGAACTCAGATGCTCCTGGAAGCTGAACACCAGCACTGTAGCAGAGGGATTTGAGTGACTTGTGGGCCAACAGCATGTCCTCCAATAAACTACCAAACAGCTTTTTTTTTAGCTTCTGAAAGAATTCCTGATTACAAAAATTGTGATTTATCTACAGAGAGAAGAAGAAGGAATTGGAACGTGAAGAATTATGGAAGAAATTAGAGGAGTTAAAGCTAAAGAAAGCTCTTGAAAAACAGAACAGTGCTTACAACATGCACAGTATTCTCAGCAATAAAAGTGCCGAATAAAAAACAGCCTATCACGTGTGCTGGATAGGCAGAGTTTTGTACACTTTTTTGGAGTATGTAAAAATTGCAAAGCAAACCTCATCAATATAATATAATTAAAAGGCCAATTTTTTTTCTGGCAACTGTAAATGAAAAATATATATGGACTAAACATAGCCGTGTGCTGTATCATGGCCACAGTATATTGTAACCTTTGTCTAATCATTGATTTATTGTGTCACTTCTGAAGTTTCACAGAAATGAATTCTATCATCTATGATATGAGTGAGATAATTATGGGAGTGGTAAGAATTATGACTTGAATTCTTTTTTGATTGTGTTGCACATAGATCAAATAGTCCGCTCTGTATATTTTCCCCTTTTATAATGTGCTTTTGACATTGCTGCAGACCTTAGTTACATCTTAGGAAAAAGAATACTTCCTGAAATAAAACTAAGGTATCATCCTCAGCCTTCCCCTTGTCTCTCCCAGAAACACGATGGTGGGATAACCTGCCCTAAAGTATATTACTGTACTCTGGAATTTGAGCAAAACCTTAAATCTCCAGGCTCTTAAAGCACAAAATATAAATAAAAGCTGGGAAAGTAAACCAAAATTCTTCAGATTGTTCCTCATGAATGTCCCCCTTCACCTGCAACACCCCAGAGTGAGCACTCGGCTGGCCTCTGGGTTCATTCCTCCCCTTTCTCTGCAAGGCTGGAGGCAGGGCCTTTCCAGTCCCCGTACCTGCCCCTTCCCGAGGCCCTCCTGACCCAGGGATGGAGTCCCACAGTGTGGTGGTGCAGATTGCTAGTTGTCACTGCCTGGCTTTATTTAAAGGGAATGCAGTAGGCTTCCTCTGTAGAGTTCTGAAAAAGTTGACTACATAGAGGTCTTGTATGTTTTTACCTGGTCAAGTATTTCTCACATCTTTTGTTATCAGAGTACCATTCCAATCTCTTAACTTGCAGTTGTGTGGAAAAGTGTTTTGTAATGAAAGATCTTCATTGGGGGATTGAGCAGCATTTAATAAAGTCTATGTTTGTATTTTGCCTTATGTGATCTTTGCTTTTTTCAGCTGCAAGCATGCTCCCCTTTAACATACATATGTATATTTACAGAAAATAAAGACAAATTGCAGAATGCATTCCAATTAAAAATAAGAAGATTGTGGGCCGTAGGTTAGTGTTCTAGCCATTTACCAACTTTATCTGTTTTACAGAGTATTTTCATCAAATTCTAAGTTCTCAAATATCCTTCCATCTTCTTTCATGTTTACCTCTAAATCCAGTTTTAATTAAAACAGAACCAAGATGATAAATCTCATAATCCACAAGACATAACAGCCCGTTTTGTGAAGGGCAAGGAGACGGGCAGATGAAAGTCAGGCATTACTGTAATGACATGTTTTCACCTACTGATACTTACACCTACTTCTTTAACATCAGTCAGAAACCACCAGAGGCGCTACACAATACTCCCAGGTCACTGTGAAGGACATCCTCTGCTCTCTGGGCCTGAGGAGAAACTCTCCCTTCCTGCACAGTGGTTCTTGTCGGACTAGTCTCAAGTGGGAGAGGTATCAAGGGGGTCCCGGCCTGCCACACTAGCCCCAGGCCAGCAGCAGTGCTGACAGCCAGAGACCCCACAGCTAAGGGATGATCCTACAACACACTGACAGGAAGGCGAGCTCTTGACTTTCCAAAAAGCAAAAGTCACATCTAAATGTCTATTTTGTAAGTTTAGGAATATTTCTTTTACTAAAGAGCAGGTAGAGTGCATTTTTACAGGCTGCAACTAATAGTTGTTAAAGGTTTGTTTTTATTTTTTGAACAGGTAAATGTGCTTACTTATTTCCTGTTTGTTAAATATTTACTTAAATATTTGTTATTAAATAGTTATGCTTATTTTCTAAAGCACATTTAACAGGTCTCCCCACTTTCCACAATATGGGATAATTTTAGCATGTTCATTGGAGCAAATTTTATTAGCTATTTCATTAACATTAAAAGGATTTTAGTTGGCTTATTTTTTTGAATTTTTTATTTGGTGGTGGGGATTGAACCCAGGGTTTCACACACATAAATAAGTACATGCTCTGCCACTGAACTACGTCCTTAGAGATGCTTTAAAAATATAAAACTAATTTTCAATACTATTAATATAAGCTTTTATGCTTGGCTTTGCATTTACCCTAAATAAAAGTTAATAGAGACACTTAGGCTAAAATTTGAATTCTCATGCTTTTGTGGAACACAATAGTAGCAGTAACTATTTCTTTACACAAGTTCATTTTTACTATTCAACCAAAGGTTTCTTACTGCTAAGTTAGACACAAGATAAAAATGTCCTATTTAGACATCTGAGTTGTTCTCTTTGGATTATCTAAAGCCAGATTGTGAGTTCAGAACACACTACCATACCTTCTTTGTATGCGATGGCCATCTAAATAATTTGAAATTCTGAAAACAATTTTTATGATCCTCAGTCAGTGTGAAAACTACCTAGGTTTTTTGGGTTCTCATCTCTGTCAAAAGCTAGACCAATAGCTTTAGAGTCACAGTGCATTCCCCTTTCTCAGACAGGTAGTTTTGGAGGACGCACTGCCCAGTTTATTCATGATCTGTGATAGACCCCTCTTCCTGGCCACCTACCATCAAACACCATGCCCAACTTACCTGCCCTGGAATCAGTCATGACCTACCTCAGACGTCAGCTCCATGCTGGGATTCCAGACCCATGCTATGCTGCCTTTTGTTTGGAGATAACAGCATGAAAGATATTGGTTGGTTCCTGTTGATTTCAATAATGGCAGACTATTCCTTTCGTATTAACTCAACTTTTATTTACCTGTTAATGAAATCAGAATATACTTGAGTAGGCACCTGCTAGGTACATCTCCTAGTGCTTTTGAGTGTTAATCACTTAGACCTGCACAGACTCCACCCAGAGCAGGTGGAGACTAGTGAGTCCACGAGAAATTTAATCACTAGTTTCTAGTGGCTTTTAAAGTCTCATTTAATAGTTAACATTCAGAGAGCTTAGTCAGAGCCTGGACAACACAGATGGTAGAGGATGTCAAAGGGTTTTGAGTACAGTGCACAAGTTCCAAAGTATGACCTGCACATCTTGGTAGACAGGATTTTTGGTAAAGAGAAAATCACATTTTTTTTTCTGTCTACTTCAAAAACATCAAAGAAAAACCTAAGGGACAAAGGAGAGCCTTAAGTATCCTGCTGGACCTTAGCTATACAGTGAACCAAACAGGAAGAAAGGCACCTTCCACAGCCCCACTCCTAAGGCATTGGACAGCTCTGTGAAATGTTCATTAATAATTTAAATACTTAAATAACTTTCAGGTTATCCACTGGATCTTTTCCATCAAGCTGGAATCAGCCTCTTTCTGAGTTAGGAGTTCCAGTTTGACAGGCTGTTCCTCCCTGCGAGGCCCCTTTTTTTTCAAGTAAATACAGGATTGCTGGTGGCTCCAATGTCAAAATGGAAGTGATGAGGACTTCCGTGACTGCGGGCAGTTCCCTGGTCACACAGGTGGCTTCAGCTTATGTGGTTTGTGGCCTGACCTCTTCTCTTGAGGTATCGTTTCCTAATTTTGATCATCCATTTCACACTGAGTTTGGCAAACTCCGCTGCTTTAAATAATGCCAAGAAAGCCCCACAGAGAAGAGCAATTGTGTTCCAAGGATTGGCTGTGATTATCTGCAAAACAAGCAAATCCGGGGTTACTGGCTTGCTTCGGTCTTCATTATTAAATCATACAGGTGTTACTGTCAAACCACAATCGCAAATTTATTGAAGTGTCAAGAAAACACCTGTGTTCTGAAGCTGTCCTAGCTCTGAACTTCCTTCAGGCTATACCTTTTATGTCCACAGCTCAGACTGAGGAGAAAGATACAAATCCCTTACAAGAGATTCTGGAAGAAAAAAATTGTTTCTCAAAAATCTCTGTACAGGGCTGAAGCTGTAGCTCAGTGACAGAGTGCTTGCCTAGCAATATGTGAGGCACCATATACAAATAAAATAAAGGCATTCTGTCCATGTACAACTACAAAACAAAAATTTTTTAAAAATCTCTATACAGGGGCTGGGGATGTGGCTCAAGCGGTAGCGCGCTCGCCTGGCGTGCATGCGGCCCGGGTTCGATCCTCAGCACCACATACCAACAAAGATGTTGTGTCCGCCGAGAACTAAAAAATAAAAACATTAAAAATTCTCTATCTCTCTCTCTCCTCTCTCACTCTCTCTTTAAAAAAAAAAATCTGTATACAAACAATATAGTATTCCATACTGAGCTTTAACTTTTTAAAAATTTTTTTTATATATTGATAGACTTCTATTTTATTTATTTATATGTGGTGCTGAGAATCAAATCCAGTGCCTCACACATGCTAGGCAAGTGCTCTACCACTGAGCCACAATCAGCCCCCTGAGCTTTAATTTTGTGGCTAATTTAACAACAGCCTTGCCTTAAGATCAATTTCCCTACAACTACACCCAACCTACAAGAAGGTGAGTTCCTCTTGTTTTTTTCCCATCTCATACACCTTAGTTTCACGGTCCCCTGCCTGTGATGTTCTCCTATCTTGATTTACCAATCCAATAAAACCTCAGCGCTTTCTCTGACCACTAAGCCAAAACCCTCTCTGTATCTCAGCAAAGCTATTTATCCTATGAACAATTTTGATAGGTACTTGCCTCTGGTATTAGTTATTTAAAACAATAGATTGCTGCCTCACTAAATGTAAACACTTGGAGGCAGAGGCTTTCTATTCAATGTCTAAATTCCTAACCAAGTTAAAACAAAAACACTTGGAAGCCCAATTTAGCAGGGTGACCTGAGACAGAATAAGCCTCAGGGTTCCCACAGGTGAAATGGCTACACCACCACCATTCTGGATTGCTGGGAAGCCAAGTGATGACTCAAGAAAAGCTTGCCTCTATGAATAGGCTCCACTTAGCCCAAAGCAGGCACCTCATGCTGAATACAGTAAGTTTTAAAAAAAAGGTTCAAATGCACATTTTACAGGAACAGCTCAAAGCTAGTATCCTTCTACCCGGAGTCTTCTCAGTAAGCCTTTGCATCTACTCTTTTCTACACAGCCTTGTGGCCGTAACAGTAGGGTGGCAAGGAAGACAGCTGTCTTACAAAATCCCTACTTGGTCCCAAGAGTACAAGGTTGAGGCTAAAACTATGAAATTTCTTGCCCTAAGCAATGATCCTGTCAGGACACTTGGTGATTTTTAGACTCAGGTCTGGCTCTAGTGAATGTGGAGCCAGTGAATGTTCCTTTTGCAAAGCCTTTCAATTATGTCTCTCCTTCCAAGGTTGTTGAGTCTGAGGATCTGGGCATTCATTGATGCTTCAATTATTTGTGCCTTTCTGCCCTGACTTACCACAAATAGTAAGTACCTATCTATCTTGTAGAGACCCTTTAAAAAAGAATGAATTCTAATAATAGTCTATATAGTAGCTTCATGCTTTCTATTTAGTCAATTAATATTACACTGAGCAGCTCCTCGGTGCTAAGCTCTCTACTAGTTATCAGAGAGTCATGGTGAACATTATGAGCCTCCTCTCTAGAGGGACAAAGAGACTAGATGAAGACAAGGTCAACTAAATAAACTACATACTATAACATCAATGTCATAAGTATAAATTGCAAGCTGCTTGATGCGCTAAAAGAAGTTGAGGACACGGAGGTAGACTAAGCCTGCAAGGAGGCTTCAGGAAAATCGCTCTCATAATCTTAAATACTACTCACATCTTGGACTTTCTGGATGAAAGGATCTTTCCATTCAAAGACCACAAAGAACAACTGAGCGCTTTTCTCGGCAGCTGGCCTCTGGTCAATGTAGTTAACCACGCTGGTCTAGACATGGAGGAGAAAAAGCATTACCACCCTGGGCCCTCCGTTGCCTGAAAGAGCAGGAAGCGGGTCTCAGACTCCAGCTTTTCTGACACCATCTTTTGGAGAAAGACCCAAAGAACTTGTATACAGAAGATGCCCAAACCAGTATAGTTCCCGAGGCTTCACCGTGGTGTCCACAGTTTTGTGAAACAGGATCTGAGATGTCCAACACGTGTTTTGAGTAGTTACTGAAATTTTTCACCAGGGGCCTATACTCTCAATTAAACCATATATAGACTACCATGGAAGAGTCCCAATTCAAAGCAATAAAAATCCCAAATTCTAAAACACTTGATCTTAAGGATTAGGTATTTCAACACAAAAAGTCTATAGGAACAATTATAAGGTCCCAGATCCACAGAGCTAAGCCTCCCTTATAAATATTTAGTAGGTGTGCATGGTAAGACCTGGTTATCAACTAAAAAAGTGACTACGTGGTATCATGGAGAGCAGACAGGTTCCAGGCTGGCCAGCCAGCCTCAGTCCAGAGGCCAGCTGCCGAGAAAAGCGCTCAGTTGTTCTTTGTGGTCTATCCTGCTGATCTGAGCCCATAAAGCAGGATAAAATGTTTACCTCACTGTGGAATGATGAGGATCAAATGAAAAAAAAAAAAATTCTGTGTGGAAGCATTTGATACTCAAAAGCATAATATAAAAACTTTTTTTTTTTTTAAGTTTTGTTCAAAAGAGCTCATGGAAAAAAACAAAAGAGCTCATCATCCTGCCAAAAGATTTCCCATTCAGACAATAATAAAAGGCACCAAAAAAATCCCCTAAGCATAGCTTCACTGAGGGTTTCAGCCCTTTAGTTTCAGATCACTGTCAGAGCCACCAGGTGGAGGTTGCACCTAACAATGAGCTACACCAACACCACCTTTCTCAGAGCCTCTGTGGGGCCAGAGAAGGGCCTGGAGTTCTAAGGAGCAAAGTACAGAGTAAGAATCCAGGTGACAGGTGGCTTACCAAACAGGAATATTTTAAGGATCTGGGGTCAAGGGCACCTCTTGAGGCAGGAAAAAAGCCTGTTCCTTAATAGTCCTAGGAACCAGCTCACAAAGAAGCAATTTCAAGTCCACCTGGACAGTCCCCACCTGGACTTGTACATGACTTCTGGCCACAGAGCCCACTCTATTAGAGGGGTCCTTCCATTCCAGCCCAGACTTTTCCTAATGCTGACCCCACAGTCCAGACCAAAAAGATTGCCTTGGGAGGAATAGAGGTGAGGACAGATAGCTGTCTCCTCCCTCTTCCTCTGCAGCACCCAGCCACATACACACAAGGTAGCCCAGCTCTAAGTGGATGGAGGAGGAGGAGGGCTACTGCAGGTGGAAGCCCCAGACACAGTGACAGTGAACTGCTTTCGCTCATGATGGACCAACTGCCCCCTCAAGGTCGCCCACCTCCATGCCTTTTCCCATAGACCTCCCAGCCCTCTCGGGATCACAGGAAGGGAAGCCCAGCACACCTCCCAGCTCAAGGTCAGTGGACTGAAGGTTTTTTCCAATAGACTTTGTTATAAAAAAAGTCTCAGTATGCATCTAATATGTTTACATTTATAACTTTACAAGTGATAGAATGTGCACTATTACTGTTCTGCTCTTATATATATATATATATATATATATATATTTAAAACATTGGACAATAGAAACGTTAAAAGGATGAGATAAATATAAACAGTCTTTTCCTCCTGCATCCAATGATCATCATGCTCACAGCCCTTCAGACATTACTGTCTTTCTTCCCTGCAAATAATCATTCCCTATGCTGCTGCCAGCTTCTCAGAGTTCTGCTGGCCTGGGATATCAGATGTAGCTAGGTGTGTTACCCTGATCGCTGCTCCACATCTGTATTTGTGAAAAACGCCAAGGATGGCCAGGCCAGCCACACACCGCGACCAGGAGAGCATGCGGATCCCTGGTGTGGCATGTGAAGCATTTGCCAGGGTCTGCCTTCTTTTAGTGAAGGTCTACTCACCCCTAGGATCCTGCTCAAAAGAACCCTTTTCTGCAAAACTTCCCTCCACCCTAGACTCAAGTTTGGAAAAATCCCCAACAGTCCCAAGCAAACTCAGAGCCACCTACCTCCTGCCGGAACTCCACTGCTTCCCGCCCATCCTCCTCCTTAGTCTTCACCAGGGACATCTTGACCCAGGTACGGAAGCCCCCAGAGAACTTCCAGCTGGAATAAGCACTCTCACAGGCCTGCATGAAGCCCGCCTTGTCTGAGCTTGGAGGACAGAAGAAAGGTCCAAGTTAATCCAGGCCTGCCAGCAGGAGCCCACAGTGGCCAGACTCAAACTCCAGCCCCTGCCTCAAGCTGCTTTGCTGGCACAACCAGGACACTGGCCGCTCCCTGCTTTCCCTCCAAAACTTGACTGCCTCAATAGGACTGTTTGTCAGTCAACAGCAAAAGCAAGGTCCGTCCCTGCTTGCTCTTCATTTGATTTCCAAGGGGAGTTGGGACCAGCCTGGGACAGGAGCCAGATCCCTGCAGCTGCCATTGGGAGAATTCCTCCTCCCTCCCACTCACTCCTGCTATGGGTCCCACAGCAATCAGCACTTAGATTGCAGAAGCTCCTTCAACTGGTGTCCCCAGCTCCTCAGAGAACTGGACTTGAGCAGAGCCGTGAGGCAGCCCTCACTGGCCTTTCAGCTCCTCTATAAGGCCAAGAGGGGGAAAGAGGATTCCTGGGGCAGGGGAGGTCTTGGCCAGAAGGGATGCCCACCCCATCTGGCCTAGGGTGGTGCAGATGCAGGAGAATGAGTGTGCAGAGGCAAACAGAAACCTCAGCATGGCGTGAGGAAGCTCATTGAAGGAGCCAGGCATGGGAGACCTCTGAAAAGCCTTCCAGGAAGAAGGCAAGACAGACAGGGAGACAGAACTACAGGGGCAGAACAAGAGGAAAATGCTAGAGCAGAGCCTCTGAGCTCTGGGTAGAAGGACGGAGCAGCAGGGTAGGGGACAGTAGAGGCAGCTCCCTCCTGTTCAGGGGAGGTGTGGCTGGTATATGTGCCACCCTGCAGCTACTTTCTATGATTGGTGGCCCAGGACTCAGCAGGACCTGGTGGAGGCATGCAGAAAATGCTCCCAATCTAATGAGCACCAGAGATGCACCACAACGTGTCCCAGAGATGGCACCACAATGTGTCCCCAAAGCAGCGTGTTTTTATGATAATCAGGACAGATTCACCATAAAGAAAGACCAACAGCAGCTACAGCAAGCACACTGTGCCTAAGTTTCTATGCAAGCTCCAGGAGAAACCAAGGTCCCAGGTGGGGACCTGTCATCACAGTGGCTGACGGATAGAATGCAGCCCCTGGCAATGGGCCAGACCTAATGAAGTCTTAGGACCACACTGTGTGAGAGCAAGGACGCTCTTCCACACCCCATCTGCTCAACTCTGCAGTGACAATTCAATGGACAGGCTGAGCTCACTGGCCCTTCCCTAGCCGTGGGACATCTGCAGCACTGTGCCCTGCCTTCACCCCTACATCCTCAGCATGGGGTCCACAAGACTGGAAGAAGGTAAAAAGCTGATAGCAAGACCACCGTGAACCCTGAGAGGCCACCTTTGCAAGAATTCCTGGAAGGAAGAGAATAGGAGGTAGTCGATGGCGCTGAAGTCCTCGCTGCTCTCGTTCAGGCGGAACTGGAGGAAGACTAGCTCCCGCTTCTTCACTTCCCGGGGACCTTGGACAACCAGGGCAGATTTCTGCAGGGACACAAATGCAGAATCTCAGTCATGGGAGGACTGCCTGGGCACACAGAGGCTTTTAAGTCTAACAGCAAAAGGACTGACAAGACAGCCATCACTCCTCACCCTACAGACGCTCACCTTTGTTTAATAAGGATGTTCACTTCCATCTGTTTCTTCCAGTCTGTCACTTTTCTCTTAATTTAGTTGCTAATATTGTTATATGTTAATATTATTTGTTATATGGAAGCTTTACATATAACAATCAATTTGTTCTTTACAATCAAATTCTTTATAGTTTCTGGATTTCACTTGTGAAAAAGTAAGCCAGAATTCCATCAATACTCTTATGTCTTTCTAGGACTTTTTAAATCTTTTACACAATGAGATACTCATACACTTGCCTTTAAGGTTTTTGGTTTTGTTGTTTTTATTTTTTTAAATATTTTTTTAGTTGTCGATAGACCTTTATTTTATTTATTTATATGTGGTGCTGAGAATCGAACCCAGTGCCTCACACATGCTAGACAAGTGCTCCACCACTGAGCCACAGCCCCAACCCTGCCTTTAAGTTTTGTTGAGAGTGAAACAGGGACAAAACTCCCACCCCACCAACAAAGAATAAAGGTTTTAAAGGCATCCCCCACCCGCCTTTTCTAGGCTAGATTCAAGTATAGAGCCACCATACGTGTCTACTCCCAGCCCTGACACTGCCCAAAAACACCATGTCTTTCTGCACCAAGCCCCTGCTCCTGGGACACCTGTGGCCTTAGAAGGACCCTCCTCTCACAGTGCTCCTCCCACCCTGCACTTGCCTGGGTCATTACCATACACGTGTTCTCCTAAGTGTACCTTTTTTTGGTACTAAGGATTGAACCCAGGGGCACTTAACCATGAAGCCACATCCCCAGCCTTTTTAAAAATATTTTATTTAGAAATAGGAACTCACTAAGTTGCTGAGGCTGGCTTTGAAATCGTGATCCTCCTGCCTCCTGAGCCACTGGGATTACAGGCACGTGCCACCGAGCCTGGCCTAAGCGTACTTTCAAACTAGCTTGTTTACTTCCATAAAAGCCCCCTTTAACAGTGATGAAACAGAGGGCTAATTTGAGAAAAGAGTATCTTTACATCAATTTTTACAAATGTTCTACAAATCTTTGAAAAGCGTGAGTATACTATCAGGTAACGAGGTTACACACACACACACACAGACACACACACACACACACACACACACCCCAAATCTACTAAAGGTGCTATCCAATCTTCATGGTTTATTACTGAAGATACGTGAATTTCTGAGGGTATTAAAATCACACTCTAGGGTGAGGGTATTTTTTTTTTAAAAAACAGGTTTTACCTAAAATACACAAATGGCACCTGTTCTGTACATAAAGACTGACGACTGTTAGCTCTTGGTGGGGAGTCATGGAATGGAAGCTCTGATCAACATTCACCAGCCCCCTTCTAGAACCCTCTGCACCTGGAATTCCACCTGGATGGTCACACTGACACCCCATCTCTTCTGATTACTCTTGCATTTTCTCGGCGCTCTTGCCCATCCATCTATCTTCATCCTTTCCATGACATTTTCCTGGAAGTCGGCTGCAGAGAAGGCTAACTGTCCCCAGACTCCCCCACCGACTCCCTCCTTCAGCACAAGAAGGCACTTCCCAGCCTGCGATTCCAGCAGAATACAGCCACCTTTCTGGAGCCCCATTTCTGGCCTCACATGCGGCCATGTCATGAAGTTCCTGGAATGTGCAGCAGTGACTCATGCAGTCCTGAATTATTTCCTAAAAGCAGAACTGCTAGCCCTTCGCTTCTCCCCTTCCCAGGAGTGAGCATGTCCTCCTCACTACTGTCCATGTGGATCAGGACGACACCCAGCAGGCAGCACAGGGACAGGATGGAAGCTGTGGCTAGACAATCTCACGAGGTGACACTGCCCACGGTGCAGCCCTGCCTGCATGCCTGCAGGTTCCCAGAGACAAGTGGCCTCTCTATCTTCTCAGCCACCATAGTTGGGTGTTTGCTTTTACCCAGGAGCTGAGCCCCTTCTCTGAGCAGCACACACTGTGTTAGCTGCAAGTAGAGTATGAGATTAGCGAAAAACTTAACATCCAGGCATCAGCTTAGCACTTGGGTGGTGGGAACACTGATCCTGTAGGCTGGAAGGCAGTTCACAGTATTTGATGAAAGTTATTGACCCTTAAATTGAGAAAACAAGAAAGAAATCAAGTATGACTGGATGAGACCCTTTCACCTGGATGCAAATAGCCAGAAGTCTGCATATTTCCGCAAAGAGGAAGCTCATTGCAAAGGCAAGAGGGGGAGGGTAAGAACGAGTCAGCTCCAAGTGTGCAATTTCAACCTAAGGTCGGACCCCAAATGCCACAAGCAGGGAGCTGAGCAGCATAATCTGCCACCCCAGAGAGGGCAGGTTTGCTACTGTCCACTTCAGACAAGGCCACCGAGGACACAAGGCAGATCTCCCAGCAGATGAGCCGCAGCACAGAGGAGTCTCCCCCGAGGACAGCAGAAAGGTCAAACCAAGGAGCTGACTTCATGCCAAGGCAAGAGCCTCGCAGTCCTGCCCTGCAGGGCTCCCATCCCCCTTTCCACATGGGGGCTCTGGTGTTCTGACTTCTTCCTCCCCTGCCGTGTTTGTTTCTGTTATTATTATTATGAAGATAAGAGTCTTGCTGTGTTGCCCAGGTGGACCTGCCTAGTCTCCAAGTAGCTGGGTCTGGAGGCAAGTGCCACATGCCAGTCTCCTGCATTAGTCCACAAGGCTTCAGTTCAGGGAGCTGATGGAGGAGGAGGAGATGACCTCTCTGTTAGTTCACAGCTTTGGGGCTCTAAGGACCTGATGGAGAAAACCACCCACCACTCAGAGCTGGAGGCAGCAACTACATTTAACTTCATTTTCACGAAAACAAACTCTTTGGGCCCCCTTACTTCGTGAGTCTTTATGATACTTAAATTACAAACTACTTTAACAAGCACAACCTGCATAAGCAGGTTTGGGAGAAAGGCAGCTGACTCCTGAGCATGGTACTCAGCTGGGGCAAGAGGAGGGCCAACCCAGGCAGGCCTGGCGGTGCCAAGCCGTTCACCAGCGTGTTTTACGGAGGGGATGGAGAGAGCTGGGAGTGCAGACTGTCCTTCCATTACAGATTCTGCTCTACGTTCAAATTTTTTACAAATTGCTTTCCTGTTTGTTTTAGTCCGTTTTCCTATTCTGGACTGAGTTCTGCTGGTTCAACTTGGTCCTTTTTTTTTGTTGGTCCCATGTTAAGTGTCTAGTGACCACTAATGACCAGGGCAACAAGTAGAGGTCTGAGATGCAGTTCCTCCCACAGTGGCGTATTTGTTTCTCTGCTGCTCCTCTCCCGCACCCCGGCAGGCCAGCTGGGAGTGCTTTGCAGGAGTGGGCAGGGAGCCCAGCCTGGCTCTCCCAGTCTTATTCTTCTGGAAGAGGCTCCTGCCCCTCAGTATCTTCCTGCTGCCCACAGTGCAGCTCACTCTCAGCTCTGCTATCTCCATTGTCCATGCACAGAACCTTCCCTTGGCTCGTGGACAGAATGATTCTAGGGTCTGTCACCCAGAAGTGACAGACCCTAGAATCCCAGCAGCTCTGCCTCCACAGGGAGGGCAAAGGCTTCGGCTGGCTTGGCCAACAGGCTGTCCCATCATGACAACACTGCTGACAGAGGACACTGGTTCTCTGAACGTGCCAACTCTGAGCTAGAGGTGGAAGGGAAGGCTGTACCTCCTGAGCCGTCCTCCTGCACCTGTTTTAGGTCACAGGTTTTCTCTGATTTGTCTGCTCCACCATTCAGTCCCAACCTGCCATTTACATTTTCCACTATTCCCTCAAAATTCCTGGAGTGCCAGTGATATGTTCGTAGTTTGAAAAGCTATTATTAATATTCTACCCTACCCTAGTTTTTACCCTAGTTTTAATGGGATTTTAGTGGAATGCATAAACCAATTAATGAAAAAGTCTTGGTTTGATCCTTTCTTCTTAAAACCCCATCAACAGCTCCGGGGCACCCAAAGGAGGAAAATCAGCTGCACAGTATGACATGGTGTTTTTCTCAGCTGCCCTTACTTCTGCCCACAGCTGCATCTCCCACATTCTTCCAGGGGCACCTGGTCCCAGAAACAGCCCTACTGTGATCTCACCCAGAGGCACAGACCCAACAGGCTGCCTCCTCCCTTTCTGTCTCAGTAGGTAGTTTCCTCTGTCCAGAAAAATTCTTTCCCTCTGGAAAACTTTCACACAGTCTCTATCAATCCCTCCTGAGAACACAGCTGGAAAAGTCAAAGCGTAACTAGATAATGATGTCCCTTCCCAGGCTTCAAGAGCCCTATGCAGGTGCTACTCCTCTTACCACACTCAGAGCCTCAACCCTGCCATCAGGTCCCCAGCTAAGCTGTGCTGTGTGATAGCAGAGCCAGAGAGTCCTCACCCCCAAACCAGGACTCCTCCTTTACACTGGCAAATTTATTCAAAATATGGATTCCCAGGGCCCATCCTTAGGAATTATGAGCCAGCTGACCTCCTCGGAACCTAGGAATCTATAATTTCAAAAAGCACCCTGCGCTGGGTGTGGTGGCGGATGCCTATAATCCCAGTAGTTCAGGAAGTCAAGGCAGGAGGATCGTGAGTTCAAAGCCAGTCTCAGCAAAAGTGAGGCACTAAGCAACTCAGTGAGACCCTGTCCCTAAATAAAATACAAAACAGGGCTGGAGATATGGCTCAGTGGTCAAGTGCCCCTGAGTTCAATTCCAGGTTACCACACACCCCCACCCCCCAAAAAAATCACATCCTGGTAATTCTATCAAGCAGTCAGGGAGGGAGCTACTTCACCACATCCTAACAGCCTGGCCCTCTGCCCTGCAGACTTCTATCAAGGACAGATCTCATCCCACTGTCAGGAATCTGGGGGTCACTTTCAAAGGATGAAGGCCTTATGGTCTGAAATGCAGAGGATCCAGCCATGGATCTCAGAGACCAAGGACCCATATCCATAGAGTGTGAGGAGGCCTCCTAGGAAGAAGAAAATCTGGGCCCTGGGTGTGGAGCAAGCAGAGAGCACACTGCCTAGACCCAGCTCAGCGAGTTACTACCATGGTCTGATTGGAGAAGGGGTGTGTGTAGTTGATCCTCTGGGTGGTGCAATTCATGTCGCCAGGCTGGCCAGGATTCATCAGAGGTGGAATGACCTCATAATGGTGCTTACAGCTGAGAAGCTGGGCCTGACCAGGGTACAGGGCGATACCTGGGAACACAAACAGGGAAAAGTAAATGTTAGAACTCAGTCCCCGACCAAACCCTTGAAACCATATCACACCAACCAATAATCTGTGTTACAGACTCCCTGCTGAGAAGGGAACAGAAAGGGTGATGGTGTGGGGAACCACGCCCTCCTCAGTAAGCTCCGCCCAGCCTGGAAGACAGAGGCCAGTGCCCACCCCAAAGTCTGCTTCCCACAGAGCCAGCTCCACTCCTCCAAGGCTCAGCCCAGCTGTGCATCCAGAGCCTGTCACCACCTGCAGATCTGCTGGAAGCCTCTGGACTATAGGCATCCCCAGAACTCACACTGTCATGTCTGCTGACTGGGAGTCCCCAGTGTGCGGGTGGCATCCCAAGAGTCCTCCCCTTTCCCTGCTAAGACACTCACCCGGTTTACAGCTCTACTGATGACATCTGTCCCAATCTCAAGGGCAGAAATGCTGAGAGCAGCATGTGGCATCAGAAACAGGCAGAGTCAGAGTGACAAGAGTTGGGACACTGCAAGTAAGACCCACAGAGACCAAAGCAGACACAAAGAGAGGAGGGACGAACATGAAATAGCATAGTCCAGCCTGGGAGCCCTGTCCAGCATGCCCGGGGAATGGCAGGGTGTCCCAGGCAGAGGGGTCCCCGACTCTGGCTCTGCCCTGTGAGCAGGCTGTCCTGAGGGTTGCTCAAGGACATCATCTTAGCAGAGCAGATGGTACACACCAGGTGGGCAGGGCCTGGGTCCACAGAGCTCAGGCCTCTCTGTTCACTCCTAGGCTTCCAGAGCCCCAGTGCCAGCCCCACTGTGCTGGAGCAAAGTGTGTTACTACCAGCAGAGAAGATGTCCCACCTAAGACCAGACACACCAATGGGGCGAGAAAGTTATACTGTGCATGGTCTGGAGCTCCTCTCCTGGCAGGGCCTCTGTCCTCCTCTTAACAGTTGTGCCTTCCCCTGCCACCCTCCCCTGGCAGGGGAAGGCACAGTCTACCCTGACTCTGACCTCCCCTCATCCTAGCGTGCCAGCGTGGACTCCTCTCCAGAAGCCTCGCCTCCCCACACTCCCCTTGGCTCCTCCCTCTTTCTCCTCCTCCTCCCAGAAACTCGATGCCCACTGTGTACTCCTCAAAGCCTGGCAGCAAGCCCACCTCTGCAAAGCTCTCCTGACCACCCAGTGCTACAGGAGCCACGCCTGGCCCATGGCTCTCCTCAGCACACTCTCTGCAGGTCCTGGCAGCAGCACGGAGGTGGTGTCTACACCTGGGCATCTCCACCAGTGCTGTGGGTAGGGTGGTGGCTGGGGGAGGGGGTTGCCAGCTGACCCCCAGAGCTGGGGCCCTGGCACCTGGCCCAGGTCAGCTCTACCTGGAGCGTCATAGCGATCCACCTCCTTGTAAGACACAGACATGACAGGGTGCTTGAGCTTCTCACGGAAGTCCGTGATGGTCTGGTAGACCAGGAAGACGGCCACGGCCATGAGCAGCAGGTAGATGAAGATGAGCAGGACTGAGAAGACGTTCTTGAGGCAGGCCTTGCTGAAGCGGAGGCTGCTGGAGGAGGACTCGCTGTCCAGGCCTGACAACAAACACCAGAGCATGACCCAGAGTACAGGGACAGAGCAGCCAGGGACGGTCAGCAACCACCCCCGTCACCGGCCTTAGCAAGGAGGTGAGGTTGCCCACACCCGAGTCTCCCACCTCACCCCCAAACGTAACAGAGGGCACTTACACACCTGTACCACACAGCACCCCGCCAGGCAGAGGCACCAAGACATTGGCTAACGGCCATTACTGTCTACAGGGACAGACGATCATAAATCCAACAAGTGAGCTGGCCCCGGCCTACCTCTCTGAACTGAGGTCTCCAGGTCAGCTCCACTCAGTGACCCTCTGTCCTTCCAGAGTCCCTCTCAGCCCTGCCGTGGCTCACACTCTCCACTCCCTGTGCCTGTCTGTAGCGCTCTCCTCCCACAGCTGACTTCCACCTCATCCTTCCAGCTTCCATTTAGAAAGGCATTTTCCCAAAGAAGCCTTCTCTGGCCTGCTCGCTTTACCTGGATAACCCTTCCTCAGTGCGCCCAGGGAACCCTGTATGTCCCCTACTTCACCACAGCAATCTCTGAGTTTTTCCTACTTCTAAGCTACAAGCTCCATGAGGGCAGAGTCAAGAGCAGTCCTGTCCATAACTGAGTCCCAGAGCTCCCTGCGCCTGTATTCTACGCTTCCACGCTGACCGACTAAACACGTCTGGAGGTCACTCCTACAACACAGCTCTGCTTCCCCCACCTGCTCACATGCCACCCCAAGCCTAGATTGCTCTGTAACGGGCTGAACTGTGTTCCCCCAAAGAACTCCTGTGTTGAAGCCCTAACTCCCACTGTGACTCTATTTGGAGATAGGGTCCTGAAGGAGCTAGTCAGTCAAACAAGGTCATAAGGATGGGGCCCTGATCCCACAGGACTGATATCCTTATAAGAAAAGAGACAAGAGAACGTAAAACGTGCACACCTCAGGAACGGCGTGTGAGAGGGGCGCCTTCTGCAAGCCAAGGGGAGAGCCCTCGCCACTGAGCAGCCCTGCAGGTGCCTCGACCTTGATCTAGCCTCCAGACTAAGAACAAGATTGTGTTGCTGAAGCCACCCAGCTGGGGCACTTTGTTGTGGCAGCCTCAGCTCACATTCCCACAGTGCTCCCACTGCTCCCTGGCTGGCTCCTCTTTTCTGCATAGCACACCTGGGGACAAGACTGGGGACAAGGGAGGAATCTGAATAGAAGAAGCCCAAAAGGTATCTATATGGTTTCTGATGTCAGCAATGAGACAGTAGCTTGGTCACAGCACCCTGGCACAAACATTATAAAATTTGAAGAATATATTTGAAATTATTTGAAGGCATTGAAGAATGACCACAAGCAGGTAAAGTTAGAAGACAATCTATCACTGGAAGAGAAGAACTGCCCCTTGGTGAGATCTATAAATTCATACTTTTTGCCCGAAGGTACATGCCAACCCCTAAAAGACACACTCAGGATGACAGAGTTCAGGCAGGGAAGAGTGGCCAGGAAGTTAAGGAGGAATCCACGAATGGGGTGAATCTCCTGAAGCTGTAAATTAGTAATCTGCTCAAATCATTGGCTGGAGACCCTTGGGGGGCTTGGGGTGGGGGTAGGTGGAATAAAGCAACTGAAAACTGAACGAGGAAGGAATGATTTCAGCTGCAGGGAGAAGGGAGTTGAAAGCTCGAGTCTTGCCATACTAACCTGCTAAGACAGAATCTAAAATCTCTATCATTCATAATGCCAATAAGAGTAAGTTCCATCCAAACTTCCTCGCATGCAAAGAAACCAGAAGATGTGACCCAAACTCAAGGGAAAAAGGAATCGACAGCAACCCACACCAAGATAACCCAGATGTAGCAATCAGCAGACAGGATCTTCGCAGCACTTAAAGGACATAAAGGAAAATGTATGCCAAAGAGAGAAAGTACAAAAAAAGAACCAGAGTAGTTAATGGCAGTCACACAGCAATGTAAATATATTCAATACCACTGAACTGTAGGCACACATATGGTTAAGATGGCAAATTTTATAGTCTATGTATCTTACTACAGTAAAAATATTAAAGAAGCCAACGGAAATTCTAAAACTGAAAAAGAGTAAGATTAACAATTTACATAGGCTTAACAGCAGATGATGGCAGAGAAAATGAGTCAGTGAATTTGAAATTAGATGAAAAGAAATTATCCAACCTGAAGAAAACATTGAAGGAAAAAAAAAAAATAATGAAGCCTGCGAGTATCTTCCAGCCTAATGACAAGCAACTGGAGGGAAAAAGAAAAAAAAAGATGAGTTGCAAAAAAAAAATTTTGTAATAGTTTAAAAACATCATCACACTGAAAAAAGACCATCCACTGACAGATCCAAGAAACAAAATACATGGCAAGCATGATAAGAAAACTACTCCTAGGCAAATTACAGTCAAATGAGTGTTGCAAAAATAAGAGAAAATTCTTGAAAGCACTTAGGAAAAAACAAAAAAGACACACTACATAGAGGGACACAAACAATGATTCAGTTCTGATCAGCAATTAAGGAAGCTCAAAGGGGCTGGGACTGTAGCTCAGGGGCAGAGCGCTTGCCTAGCCTGTGTGAGGCACTGGTTGGATCTTTAACACCACAAAAAATAATAAAATAAAGGCATGCTGTCCATACACAACTACAAAAAAAAAAAAAAAAAATTTAAAAAGGAGGCCCAAAGATAACAGAACAGCTTTGAAGTTGCTGAAAGAAAAACACTGTCAACCCAGAAATCTATATTGAGAAAAACTTCAAAAATGAAGATAAAATAAAGATATTTCCAATAACAAAAGCTGAGAGAATTCATCACCAGCAGTCCTGCACTATAATGCATGATAAAGACAATCCTGGGAAACACAGGGAAACAACCATGTGGTAACTGATGTATGAGAAATAACATCATAAGAAATAAAATCACCAGAAATGCTAAACAGGTGGGTAAGTATATGAAGCTATTTATAATTTTAACTCCTAAGGTCTATACAATATTGTCAAATTTATAATCTGTAGGAAAGAACAAAGAAATAACACAAAAAAATTACACAACTAGACAAAAGAAAGATGGGAGAAGCAAATTCAAGCATATCAATAATCACATTAAATGTAAATGGACTGAACACTCAAAAGGCAGAGGACTGGGATATAGCTGATTTAACCTCCTTGCCTTGCATGCCCAAGGCCCTGGGTTCAATCCCTAGCACCACCAAAAAAAAAAAAAAAAAAAAAATTAAAAGGCAGAGATTGTTTGCCTAAATTAAAAAAACGAGACCCAACTACATGCAATAAAAACATGAACTTAAATACAGAGTATCTGTTCATAATTGTTTTCATTTTTCCTTATGTAAAAGCAGAATCAGCACAGAACTATCAAAGTATTCTTGGTTGGTAAAGATAAGACAATCATTCTTTACTACTATAAGTATGTATCAAGCACCAATTCTATATGCAAGACTTCATACTAGGTGCTTCAGAGAGACACCAATAGAAAAGCATTAATGGACTCTGCTACCAACTGCTTCAGAATTCAGAAAGATGTGAGGGTGTTAAGTGGGCAGGAGGTTAAATCAGCAATGATTTTGTGGAGGTCACATTAGTCCTGAGCAAATAGAATTCTGAGGGGGAAAAAAAATTGCTCTTCATTTTTCATTTATTTCTGAACTGGAAGAACAGATATATATAGCCCACATGTTAAGAGCATGAGATTTTAAGTCCATTTTAGTCCATTTTAGTCTCCAGTCCCAGCTCTGCAATTCTGAATATTAATATTCCTAAAGCCTCACTTTCTTCATGTGAAAAGTGAATAATCATTTCAATGTTATAGGATTTTTGAGAGAAGTAAATGGGAAATTGCTGCAGAATATATTATAGTGTCTGTTCAATGGTAGTAACTACTGTTACTGAGGAACTGAATATACCCTCTACCCTACAAAAGATGAGTCCCTTAATGAGGAAGATGACAAAAATGAAGAGCAGAGAACTACAATTTCTTAATAACAAGGAACTAGAAAAATTACAGGCTGAAAATCAAATGACGGTGGGGCAGAACACAGTGTCTTTCACATAGTAGGCATGTAACACCTTCATATCTGTTAAATGACTAAATGACCTAAACAATAGATAAACTTAGTCTTGCAATGCTAATGCAATTTGTCAGAGAATACCAGCACATCTCAGGCATGTAAAATTATGAGCCAATTAGTATTCCTTTCTATTTCTAGCAAAGTACTTTAGAAAGTTTCTACTTGACACAGAAGCACAAATTCCCAGAAGTATCAAGGAGGTCCCTTCAAAAACAGCTTACTAGAGGCACTGGAAATGTCCTCTATCTACAAAGAGATCAGGGAACTGAGAGTCAAGGAAATCACTGGAGCAAGTGATAACTAAGCCACCAAGGTACAGAGCAGCTCAAGCTATCCAAAAAGAATTAAAGCAATTGTTTCTCAATTTCTCTCTCATTCCATTTTTGCTCCAACCTAAACTCTGTCAATTTCTGCTCCCTCTCAGCTTTGCTATCTGCCTTCTTTCCACATTCCCTCAGGATCCTGCTCCACTTTACCATGTAAGTTTTCTTCCCTGAGTCTTACATTCAAACACTCCCCCAGAGTGTCCTGTATAGGGTGTGCCAATGGACACTTCATGAGACTCTGTCCTTCTTCACGTCCAGCCTATAAATGGTTTCCCCTGGCTTAGGTGCTGACCCCTGGCAGGTTGGTGCAGCTGGGCTGCAGGGCCACAGGACCCAAAGCACAGCAGCATTTCCAGCTTTCATAGTTCAGGTGGGATCACAGGTATATGCTTCAAAACATGACGGGTGGAAACACATTCAGAGTCATGAGTTGCTCATAACCGCAGCGGCAACAATTACCAGCTCACTACGTTCTACTAGGGCTTAGAAAGCTCATTAGATAAAACTGAAGGAAGTTTAAAGTAACTGATAAGGTCTATAACATGTGAACTGAATTTTTAAGAGTCGGTAGGAAACAAAAAGGCCATCTGGCCCAA